ATCTGCAAACATTAACCAATCAGAAATCCCCCAGGTGCCAAGCATGTTTTGCAACTGGTCCAGGTCCAATCTATGGAGGGCAGGTTGGCAACCGACCTCTCCACCTGGCTAGCCCGTCCAGCTTTCTTAAGCAGGAAAGCTTATTTATTGGGTTTATATCCCCTGTTTTCCTCCAATCGGTACATGGTTCACCCCCATCCTCAGTTAATCCCTACAACAACCCTGTGAGGTAGGTTAAGGGACTGTGACTGGCCCAAGGTCACCCAGTGAACGTCATGACTGAGTGGGGATTTGAACCCTGATCTCCCAGGTCCTAGTCCGACACTCTAACCATTACACCACACTGGCTTCCTAGAGTACTTCTGCTATGGGAACACTATACAGTGGTACCTCTAGTTGCAAACGGGATCCGTTCTGGAGCCCCGTTCGCAACATGAGCAGAACGCAACCCACGTCTGCACGTGCCACGATTCGCCGCTTCTGCACATGTGCCTAACGTCATTTTGAGCGCCTGCGCCTGCGCGAGCGGTGAAACCCGGAAGTAACCCTGTCCGGTACTTCCAGGTCGCCGCGGGACGCAACCTGAAAACGCTCAACCTGAAGCAAACGCAACATGAAGTATGACTGCATAAATCAAGTAGGTATATAAATATGAAGAAAGCAAAATGTCTCTTAAGAGAAAGCACCATAACCGGACTTCTACTTGCCACCTTCTCTCAAAAGGAGCTCCCCCATCCCCAACATGAAGTTCTGTTTAAGCTATAAATGTTAAAAGTGGGAATTGCAGCCACTGCGCTGCTGCTGAGAGCTAAACCATCGTTTGGCTCAACGTGCCATCTGAACCCAGACTTGTGGTTTATCTTAAAGTAAAGGTAAAGGTACCCCTGCCCGTACGGGCCAGTCTTGACAGACTCTGGGGTTGTGCGCCCATCTCACTCTAGAGGCCGGGGGCCAGCGCTGTCCGGAGACACTTCCGGGTCACGTGGCCAGCGTGACAAAGCTGCATCTGGCGAGCCAGCGCAGCACACGGAACGCCGTTTACCTTCCCGCTGGTAAGCGGTCCCTATTTATCTACTTGCACCCGGGGGTGCTTTCGAACTGCTAGGTTGGCAGGCGCTGGGACCGAGCAGCGGGAGCGCACCCCGCCGCGGGGATTCGAACCGCTGACCTTTCGATCGGCAAGCCCTAGGCGCTGAGGCTTTTACCCACAGCGCCACCCGCGTCCCCTGTGGTTTATCTTGAACCCCCGCAAAGCAAGAACCACAACTAAACAACCCCTGACCATCCAACCTCTGTTGAAAAACCTCCAGGGGAAGAGTTTGCCACCGTCTGAGGTCGCACGTTCCACCATGAATTGCTCTTCTGGTCAAAAAGTTCTTCCTAACATTTGGTGGGAATCTCCTTTCTTGTGATTTGAATCCATTGGCTCGACTCCTACCCTTTGCGGCAGCAGAAAACAAGCTTGCCTCCATCTTCCATGGGGCAGCCCCTCAGATATTTGAAGATGGCTCTCATAGAAGCTCTCAGTCTTCTCTTCTACAGGCACCCAACTACCTCAACCGTTCCTCCTAAAGACCTTTATAATCTTGGTCTCCGTCTTCCGGCACACATCCCAGCTTGTCAATATCCTCCTTAATGCTAAGCTACAGTTTGGTTTAGCGGCACATGCAAAGCAGCTCTGCGCCGGTCCTGAGATTCGCAAAGAATTTACTTCGGCTGTCGAAAACCTACTACCATACAGTTCCGATGCTCAGGAAAGAAAGGAAACAGAACTCCAGCCCAGATTAACAGGGGAAGTTCCTCAATCCCATTTGCATAGGCTCAAAGCATGACAAGATCTACTGTACTAATTTGGCAGCATTTGTTCAGTTGGCTGGCAAGTTGCCTTTCCAGTCCAGCCCTTCCAAAGGACTCGGGGAAGGTTAACTCTACCCCGAAGGAAACCAAAAGGCCACAAAAACAGCCCTCACTGAATCACAACCGCAAAGAAAAGGCCTGATGTGTTGAGGTGTTTGAGCCAGGCAGATTTGTGAACACCCAGCCTCACGCCCATCATACAAAAAGCTTAAAAACATGCACAGTCCTTAACTGTAGCTACCAAGCACCGGCCAAAAAAACAAGGGACCAAAGCAGGCACAACGATTACGGTTCGTGCTAACTATGGTTTGTGGCCTTAAACGAACGTTGCTATCTCAAATGCACAGCAAAACTATAGCACAGGTTACTAAGCCCTCGAAGACGGGCATATGGAGATATCAGCGAGAGACCGGCTTATTCCCTAGAAACCGTATGTACTGTGGTTTGCTGGGATGCTCAACCATGCAAACCATAGTTTGGAAGCCCACTGCAAACCAGTTTTACAATCCGGGTTGGTGGGCGATCCTTTTAAGCAATGGTCTAGAGAAGCATTCAGACATGACACTTAACCATAGTTACAGAAAACAAGCCAGAGTTCAGCTGTTTCCAGTCCATCAGGTCATTATAAGAATTTTGTAACTAAAAAAAATCATGGCTTGCTTTTAGGCGCCAGGCAAAACCAGACATTTGGCCCTTAATCTGAAGGGTTCCTGGGTATGTCGGTGGCTTCTCTTTATAATTATTTGTCAACGGAGTGGACCTGTCCTAATATATACAAGCATTTTAGATTTTCTTTCTATTCTTGTTATTACATTTGGCGTGTCTCGTTTGTACGCTGCAAGACGCCTTGGAACAGTGAAAAGCCAGATATATATATTTTTTAAAATAATAAATTCACTGATATTTGTAAACTGCTCTGAATCATTTTCCAGCCAAAGAGAAGGCTAAAGATGCTTCAGAGAAAATAAATAGGCATTCTTTCTTCTGGAAGGCATTCCGGGTCAGACTTTAATGGATCTGTAAGGCGGAGACCCTAAGCAGATTTATTACAGAAATGAGCCCTACTGAGGTCAATGGGACTTCTGGGTAAAAATGATTGCCCTTCAAGGGAAGGAAGCTCTGTCTTGCAACTCACCTGCCCTAAAAACATCTGTCTGTATTTGGGATAATCAACCATTGGCCCTCCAGATGTGGTCGGACTACAACTCCCATCAGCTTGCCCATTGGCCATGCTTGCTGGGGCTGATGGGAGTTGGAGTTCACATTCCCCATCCTGTTCTGCGTCCAAGATGGCTGAATCTGGCATTGGGGCAAAGCAGAGGAGGCAGTCTTTGGGGTACGTAGGATCCTAATGATTAAAGACTTCATAGGTCAAAATGAATATTGGGGCTTGAGGGATTTTATTTTGTAATTTAAATTGAGTTAAAATAATTCTTTTTACACACACGAAACCCCCGGAATTGGCGTGGGGTAGCATTTTCCACCTGGCACACAGACCCTCTGATGAAGTGAGTGATTAGGAAGCAGGAAAGGAGCTGGAGAAAAACTGAAATTCTAAAAGGGCACAGGATCAGACCGGAAAAGGGGCCCTCTCCACGCACTCTCTACGTCTGGACAATTATAACGTGTTTCGCTTTAAAGCTTTTGGAAATTGAAAATAATTCTCCTTGATGAAAATTGTCTCTTAGAGTTTATTAGGGCTGAAGACTTGATAGACATGATTAATCAAGTAATTTATTAATCACAGATTAAAACGTGGGGTTTTAATCAGATTTTAATCAGAGCTGTCGGGCAGGCATCTTTGGTTTGTAAGTCATCTATGACTACCACTCGACTCAAGCAACGCATCTTAGATAAACTCCAAACCAATAAGGATCCACCGATAAATTGGCTTGTATCTACATTGCACAGTAGGTGTGCTGCTGAAGCCTTCAGCAGTGATTGGCTGAGCTTCTGTGATGACACGGAATGCTTTCAGGTTCTATGGGGACAAAGCTATTGGAATGTTTGTAGATCTGGTTTCTGTGAGGGAAGGGAAAACTAGGAGTTTGGCTGGAATTTAAGCCTCACAATGACCTTTGGTCTGAGGATAAGGAAGATACGTATTATGGGAAGTAAAGAAGCCTAGGAACCCAGAGGTAAGGTGGATGAAGAAACAGGTAAAAAACCCAAAACCAAACAGAAACACAGCGAGAAGTTGGGGGAAGAGAAAGAAGCTTCAGCAAAACAGAAGAGAAAATAGGGAACAAGGAAGGAGGTAAAAAGAAACAGGGAGAAGGGCTGAATTTCACAAACTGATATGAATTAACCACCCAGTTCTTGGGATGCTGGTTTCTAGTTGATTTTAATGGGACACATTTGACTGTGCACTGATCATATTAATGATTAGCGCAAGGCCATTATCTTCATCAAAAAAAGTTCTTAATTGGTTTGGATGTTCTCCTCCCTCTAAAGCACCTGGAAAAGTATAGGTTGTCAGCTCCACTTTTTAAAAAATGTTAATTAAAAATATTTAAAATGAGGAGGAACATTTTAAGAGTTTTTTTCTTTTCTTTTTGAGCCACAAAGGTCTTGGAAGTTCTCTCTTTCTCCCCTCGCCCCTAATATACATTTTAATTTGTGCTAGCGTTACAGCAGGGGTAAAAGTAAACCGTTTTCCCCTGAGCCCCACTAGAAGAGGGGGGCAAAAATTGAAACAGGAGCGAGCATCCTGAAAACGAAAATGTTTTTATAAGGATCTTTAAGAAGGCAAACCCTGAAAACCTCAACAAATTTCTTCAAAAATTAAGGTTCATAATTCCGTTGTTTCTTTTAACGTTTCATTCCTTCCACCGATAAGGGCTGACTGTTTCTATGGAACCATTTGTAGCCAAACCACGACCCATCAACCAAAAACATCAAAACTATGTTGAGAGCCAAGGTGGCTTCCATCGGCCTCCCATTCCACCAATCTGAACAAACCGTTCGCTCACCCTCTCGCTATGGGTAGTTGGATAACCACCATTCCTATCCTACAAGATGCCCCACCCAACATAAAATGCAAACATTTATCACGTCAGCAACCCCCCTCTCCCAAATCTGCTGCCGGAGAGCCCACAACTCCTATTCCTGAAGGTGCAGGAGAAGAAATTTCAAGTCTATACCTTGCTGGTCCACGAAGAAGGTTGGCTGAAGACTGAAGATCTTCCGAGCTCCTGGTCTTGACCTGCAGACATCCGTTCAATGGTGGCAGATCGATACGGCTGAGAAAGAGAAAACAGATAGATGGAAAGGAGCAGGAGAAAGGAAGATGTCTACCCAACCGAGCGCCGCTCGGTCTGCCCCATTCCCGAGCGCCACGTTCTTCCGTGCCCGCCAGGGTCTCCGCCTGCTGCGACGAGGCTGTGCCCAGGCAGCAGGGATGGCAGCGACTTATCATTCTCCTCTGCTTCTCCACCGTTTGCCGCAGTGCCAAGATCAGCGACTCTGTTCACGTGCCAGTGCGGGTGATGCCAGCCCCAACCAGCTTTGACTCGGTGCCAACTTCAGATGGTCACAGGTGTGCCAGTCTGAAAAGAGGGAGTGGGGCTGGGTTGGGAGAGACAGAGAGAGAGAGAGGGAGGAAGAGACGTTTAATACAGAACTGATCTGGGTGCCAATAATGCCCGCGGCACAATCTGGCAGCTGCCCTTCCTCTCCCCCACATGGCACCCCCCAAGTTGCACCCACCCCCCACACTTGCCCGGGCTTTTATTTCCATGTCTGCCTCTCTCCCTCTCTCTCTCTCTCTCTCTGATCCTATTCTAGTGTCAATCCCGGTCTCTCATCCCAAATGCCCGCAGCTCCACCCGGGTCCAACCTCAGATGCCCGTCACCAAAGCACCCACCCGGCTCCATCTCCTCTGCCTTCTTTCGCCTTCCTCCTGCCCCTTCCATGCCTCCCAACACCTCGCCACCTGCCAGCTGCTGCCAAATGGAGAGAGTGGAGCCGGGGGGGGCACGGTGCCAGCACGAGAAAAGCGGCGTACACCCTCGCACACATCTCAGAGAGAAAAGAGAGAGATTTGCACGCGGCGCGCCAGCCTCCACCCTGGTGCCAATCCGTTCGCTCTGGCCCTCTCTCTTGCCTCCCATCTCCCTGCGGGCACAGCCTTGCCAGCTGCTGCTTGCTGCCTTGCCTGGTCCTCCCCCCCCCTTTCGCTGTCATCATGCACCAACCTGGCATCTCACACTCAGCCTCCCCCCCACCCGCCCTACACACCAGCACCCCTGCCCGGTTGGCATTAAAGCTGGCGAGCGGAGCGAATGCCGCAGAGGGAAGGGAGGGTGGCAGGGCGGGCGGCTGCTCTGTGCCAGCTGTCATCGCCCCTCCCCCGTGCAGAATCGCTTCGGGTATCGGGCTGGCATATACCACCTCCTCTCCTTCCCCTCCACACACCCCCCCACCACAACCTCCATCCTTCTGCCTCCCCCTTCCATCCCTGCGCTTATCGTTCGCTTTTTCGCCCTAGCCATCCCTTGCTTCTCTGCCCCCTTCCCCTCGTTGCTCGCTCTCCTTCGAAACCCTCGTCCTCCACACTCTCATCATTTCCCCCCTCTTCTGCTATCACCCTTTCTCTTCCTCCCCTCTTTTTTTCCCCTTTCTCTCTCTCTCTCTCCTTCGTGCAGTGCCAACCTCGTTCCAGCACCCATTTCCAGTTATGTCCTGTGGTGCAGGTGCCAGCCCGTTATGCCAACCACGCGGGGGGGGGGGGCGGAGAGAGATACAAGGGTTTGTGCGTATGTGTGTGTTTGCATGACCAAGCCTGGCGTCCCTTCCGGAGAAGAGACGAAACACACACACACACACAAAACACCCGACTCCTTGGGCTTTCGTCGCGCCCACCCTATCCGCCGTTGAAAGTGGCACGGTGCCAACCCAGGAACAACCATCTGTGCCCCCCGTCTGCAGCACCCCTCCCCCCCGCCACCGCACTAATTGGCAGCTGAATTAATTAAATCCTGGATGCTAATTAACATTCCGACGGTGCAATGGTGGGGGAGGAAGAGGAGGGGTTCGGAAGAGGGATCTCCGGCGGGCATCGAGGCAGGGGGAAAAGTGGGCAAGGAAAGTCAAGGATTTGGGGGTGCCATTTAATGGGGGGCAGGAAGTGTTTTGCCTTCCCCCCCCCCAAAAAAAAACCTGGGAGGAAAGTAGAGTGTTAGGAGGGAGCAAGGATAGGACCTTGAGAAGGAGGGAAGCCAATAATCAGAAGTAATTATAAATTGTGATGCAAACATTAAAAAAACAACAACTTGGGGTTTGGTGTCCAGAGATTTTAATGTAACCAATATTCCTCTTAGGGAAAGTGTTTTTTGGGGTGGGGGGTGGGAGGCAAGGGCAAGATTATTGGCCAACTGGCAAAATATGAACGTTACGAATTAAATAACGAGAGATATCTGAAATGGCAAGGAGGGAAATGTTACACTAAAAGAGAATGAAAAGTGCTGAAACATACTTGCTCCCCACTGAAACCAATCACAATTGCAAAAAAAAATCCCAAAACTCCAAATTTACATCCCAAAAATTGGTTTGGTACCCTTTGTTTTTAAATGGTGGAGCTGAGGGCAAACTTCCCATAAGCTAAAGTCAATCGCTTGCCTGCTCTGCTGATTTCACCAGTGGAGTTCATCACATTTCATATTATCGCCAACTAATATCAATGGGACCTTAATGGGCTTACTGAACCTCACCTTGAGTCTGTGGCTCTCTATCTGCCGCAGGGCCACAACTGCTCTCGATGGGGATTCGAAGGTCAATTTTCCTTCATCAGGGCTAGAACCCTCCCCTTTTTTAAAAAAACACTGGACTCCAGAAATTTGATCAAACTCTTGTGGCCCAGTTCTATGAGATGGGAATGTTTGGGCTATATCAAACTAAACTAGACTCAAGAGCAGACTCCCTGTAATTAACTGAGTCATGTCCATTCATTCCAAAGGATCGCAAATGCTGGAAACAGCCCCAGATTTCAGTTCAAACGCTGCTAGAACTTGCCTGCCCAGAAAGAACATTCCTGTTGGTACTCCAATGCCTTTTGAAGACTTAGTTGTTAGAGCAGCTGTTCAATACATTTGATTCGTTGGGTTCTGGGTTTTATCTGCTGTTCTGTCTTGCTTTTAGATTTCTTCCGTTTCTTTTCTTTCTGTAACGTTACCAGCGATTGTTTTCCGTCATTCCGAGATGGGAAGCAGAGCTGCTCTATCCTCTGAGATCAGTGATGTTGGGTTCTCCTCTCCAGCTGGTTGTTAGAAGTGTGAGCCAAGCCACTTAAATAACGCAGGCGGTATCCAGAGATAAATGAAATCCTGATAATGCTTTCCGGAGGAAAACTGCATAATTTGAGGAGAAACAAAAGAAGTTTCGTTTTTCTGACTTCAGGCCTTGTACACAGCAGAGAGACATTCAACTAAACATACAGAGGTAGGGCTCCCTCAGAACTACACAGCCAATCAGAGCACGTGCCACTTACTAGAGATCCCCCTCTTCGCCAGCTGACTTGCCGATAACAAAATTAACCCTTACGTTACAAACTGAACGATCCCTGCTGCGACATTTCCAATAAGGAGAAATTTGTAACTAAGGACTAGTCCCGGTTTGCTTTTTTCCTGTTCTTCTTCCTTTCCCCTTTTATGCAATGTCTTTTAAAGTTTGCAAGCCTGGGGGCAGGGGCTGTCGCATTACTGATCTTTATAAATCAACCTGGGGGCCATTTTTTGCGTGAAGGACAGAGTTAAAAGCGCTTCAAATAACAAGTGTTTGGATTTTATACAGCCAGTCGCGTCTTTGGATGGAAAGGTAGGGTACAAATTTGCTTTTAAAAATTATTATTCACTATGGTTTACTTTGTAGAGTAGACGCAGCTTCTCTATAAGCCACGATTCAAACAAACCACAGTTAAGATTAACCATTGTTCGGATGACATGGGATAGTCTGAGGTTTCTCTGAACGTCAAAACACCTTCCTCCAACCTCTAAATGTTTTGGAGTACCATTCCCATCAGCCCCGGTAGTTGGGAGAGATGGGAGTCCTACTCCCAACCATCTGGAGGGCACCAGGTTGGGGAAGATTGCACTAAACTATGGTTTAGTGTTATGTCCACAGTGGGCTAGGTTGGCAAAGATGCTTATCACGCAGCAGAGATTCTGCCATTCGAGAAAGTCCCGCACCCAAGTAAGAGTTCCTCTAGTCTAGTGGCATCATAGATTTGTATAGTTAGAAAGGGTTCCAGGGGTCATCCAGCCCACCCCCATGCGATGGAGGAATCACAGCGTTCATCTTAAGATCACATTATGCAGGGCGCCTCTATCCTAAGCAGCTCTTTCCATGGATACTACTTAACATTTCCAGAGCTAAGGAAATTCAGCCAGGATGCACCATGCTGGACCATTACAGGACATGGGTTCAGTTTAAAGGTAAAGGTAAAGGGACCCCTGACCATTAGGTCCAGTCGTGGCCGACTCTGGAGTTGCGGCACTCATCTCGCTTTATTGGCCGAGAGAGCCGGCGTCCAGCTTCTGGGTCATGTGGCCAGCATGACTAAGCCGCTTCTGGCGAACCAGAGCAGCGCACGGAAACGCCGTTTACCTTTCCGCCGGAGAGGTACCTATTTATCTACTTGCACTTTGATGTGCTTTCGAACTGCAGGAGCTGGGACCGAGCAACGGGAGCTCACCCCGTTACAGGGATTCGAACCACCGACCTTCTGATCGGCAAGCCCTAGGCTCTGTGGTTTAACCCACAGCGCCACCTGCGTCCTGTTTACCCCTCCTTAAACACCAAATCCCACAAAATCACCAGGAGCCGCAAGCAACCCGAGGCATTAGATCCATTACCAATGTTAGGCCAAAAAAAAGAGGGGGGTCAATTTATGCATCCTAGCACCATTTTTATTACTTAAACAAGGCAAGCACCATTTTTATTACTTAAACAAGGCAAGATGGCACAATATGGAGAGTCTCACAGTATGAAAAATTGTTCTTCTTCCGCCATTCCGACTTCCCCTATTTATCCCCGAGTCGCATTGTAATAAATCTCTCGCAGCGGAGATGGATGCCCGAGTTGTTTTATTTTTCACACTGATGCTGCTTTAAGTATTGCGGCGATACGTGCTTTCATATAAAAAGCAGGGGTCGCACCATGGACACATCTGGGATTTTTGAGCAAGGGCTGTGGGCACCGACCCCGCTGGGTCTCTTTTCTTCTCCGGATTGTACTGTATCACGCACTTCGCTTTCCCAAGGGATCTGGGTAAGAGTTAGCCAGAGCCTCAAAAAGCACAGAGAGATGTAATAGGAAGTGGTGAAAGAGTGTCACTTTTCCAACTTCCTCCTTCAAGTCAAGGCAGGGGGAAAGTAACCATTCCCAACACCTGATGCCCAAGGAGACAGTGAGGGGCTTGGCTCAGAGGTTTCATTGGCACCAGGCTAAGATTTCAAGGGTGCCACGATGGCAACCCATGATTATAGGTAAAGGGACCCCTGACCATTAGGTCCAGTCGTGACCGACTCTGGGGTTGCGGCGCTCATCTCACTTTATTGGCCGAGGGAGCCGGCGTACAGCTTCCAGGTCATGTGGCCAGCATGACTAAGCCGCTTCTGGCGAACCAGAGCAGCGCACGGAAACGCCGTTTACCTTCCCGCCAGAGCGGTACCTATTGATCTACTTGCACTTTGACGTGCTTTCAAACTGCTAGGTTGGCAGAAGCAGGGACTGAGCAATGGGAGCTCACCCCGTCGCGGGGATTCAAACCGCCGACCTTCTGATCGGCAAGTCCTAGGCTCTGTGGTTTAACCCACAGCGCCACCCGTGTCCCTACCCATGATTATACCATGGTTTTAAATAAATAAATTAATAATAATTAATAATAATAATAATAATAATAATAATAATAATAATAATAATATATTATTTATACCCTGCCCATCTGGCGGGGTTTCCCCAGCCACTCTGGGTGGCTCCCAACTGAATATTAAAAACACGATACAGCATAAAACATTAAAAACTTCTCTAAACAGGGAGGGAACCTCCAGAAGACCCTCAGAACTGGACCTCAGGGTCCGGACTGAACGATGAGGGTGGAGACGCTCCTTCAGGTACAGTATACTGGACCGAGGCCATTTAGGACTTTAAAGATCAACACCAACACTTTGAATTGTGCTCGGATACGTAATATAAAATGTAATATAGTAT